TAATCCCTAAACCTAAACCCTAATCCCTAAACCTAAACCCTAATCCGTAAACCTAAACCCTAATCCCTACACCTTAAACCCTGAACCCTAAACCTTCAACCCTAAACCTTAAACCCAAAACTAAACCCTAAACCTTAAACCCTGAACCCTAACCCCTAATCCATAAATCCTAATCCCTAAACCCCTGGGGTGGAGCCTCGGCCTGCGTCGTCTCGAGGCTCCGCCTGAGTGCCCTCAGCAGCGGCAGCGTGGCCTCTAACAAAAGAGAAGTGGGGGTTTGCCAAAATTAGGGGTACCCTTCTGGGGATCCCCTTAGAAGGAGTATATTATTTTGGATTAGGGGTCCCCTTATTTTGGGTAAGTACCAAGTAAGTACATAATCCCCTCCCTTTAGTATGTTTGGGTATAGGGTTTAGGGTTTAGGGCCTAGGAAAGTTTAGGGTAGTTATATTATAATAGACCACATTGCGAAAGTATTTAAGATTAGGGGGGGTTGAATAGTAGGGGGAGGGGATTAACTCTCATGTGCGACGTATGCATGATGCCGCTCAAAGCAATGAATCCTAACTGTGTGATTCCAGAGTCAAGTCCAGTCACGCCAGATGTCGATCTCCCATGGTATTGGGCGCGAAAAACTCGACTGTGATCATAAGGTATATCTGAGGTCTAGTAAACTATAAACCTCACAAGACCATGAAACAACTCTCAGTACTAACTCATACTTCCGGTGATCTGATGTTGACATGGTGTTGGCGCCCTGACTGCCTCGTGAGGAATGCGGAGTGCAAAGGCGGACTCGTCCACGCCATCCTTCCACCAAGTCTTGGCTTCTCAGGATTATTATTGCATGGTTCGTCTTTGAGAAGTTTAAAACGTGGATGCTCCATAATTTGATGTCCTACCCAGATGAAAAGGACTCAAAAAGCTGTGAGCTGAGGCTTGCTTTACGAGTTTGGGGTGTGCGGGTCGTGTTCATATGAGTTCATGAGCTGAGATCGACTTGGTGCCCTGTGTGCTCAGGGGTTGGTATGATACGCTCTTGGCCAGGTCTGTCATGTGGCAGGAGATGCCTGCATCTTGACTTATCTGAAATTCCACGGTGGTACATGAAGCTGAGAGCACGAATCCTCTAGATCGAATTGAAAACTGATCAGTTGGCCGCCTCAGCTTGTTTTGCTTCGCACTAGTGATCGCTTCGAAAGCTGCATACCGAGACACTCCCTACAGAAAGCAACAGTTACAAACCGTGAATCTGCAACTCGCAACATTCCTCTATGGAACACATGGGGCCTCTGACAATACCACCAATATCAACTGCAGCAATACACAAGGCATGTCAAAACTATAGGCCGCTGCCCTCAGTGCCTCGTTCGGCGGCCGTGCGAGCAGCACCAGCTGGCCAGCCAACCTGGCAAGAGCCACGGTAGCCTTTATTTTTTGGGGGTGTTCTGAAAACATGGGTTTATTTGGTGGGGTCCTTAGTATCACAAGGGTATACTACATTGGGGTACAGATTCGGGTCCCTCTACTTTGTCAAAACTACCATGTCATGGTGCAGGAAAGGGTATGGGCTTCTTGAGTGCTCTTGGTAGGTTCTCAGGGGCAACACCATGATTACGATGTCCAGCCTCCTGAGGCCTTGTTAGTTTGACAGTCTGAGGCTCACTGGACAGCACGCGCACAAAGGGGGATGGGCAGGAGAGTTGGGCCTTCCATTAACATCAAGGTTTTCCAAGGTTGTGGGTGCCTTTTTGGGGTCCCAATAACGCCAATAACAAGGACTATAGTTATTGGGGGTATATATTGGGGTCCCCTATTCATGGCAACGACCACGCAAACAAAAGCCTTTAAATACGCAAGTGGCTTGGATCTGCTAGGCATTTTCGCTGAACAAAGCCTTGGTACCAGCTACACAACATCCCAAGCAGGTCTGCGGGGATTCAAGTTCTACATGCAACATCGACCTAAGTTCCAGGTCATGCCGATGCACCTGGTCTTCTTCAGCTAGTAGCCCTTCATACGACACATATGTTTCTTATCATGCAAGGCCAGATCCACCTAATGCAAGACATGCAAGACATGGCAGGTTGGAGGCAGTCAAAACACCACAATTCCAGAACATGGTGCGCTTCTTTTTGGAAAGGGGAATGTGCCAGATTGCGCAACGTCAAAAATGGGGCTCCGTTATGCAATAGAGGAATTTTCACAAAAGCTCATGCTACAGTCGTCTTGAATTAACCGTAGAGCCCCTGGAGCACTTCTAGAAAAAGATTCAACAAGCTCCATCTCGCAGCCGAAAAATGACCACTAAACCTAAAGCCAGAACCGTAAGCACTAAGCCCTCAACCCTACACCACCCTGAATCTCGAAACATGGCCACGCAGACGGCTCATGCTCCAAGGGGAAGCCCGCAGCTTTGGCCTGCTGTTACTGGTGGTCCAATTGGTGTGCTCGAAATTTACGTGGACCTCTCAAATACCCAAAATGCGGGCCTTAAATTCAAAAATAATGGGAATGTGGGCTAGTACTTCGGCGTTTCGGGAGGTCCAGGGAAACACTGATCGTTGCAGCTCATCACAGTAAGAGCGCGCGCAGAAGACGTAGCATACCCTGAACATCTCTAAGCCTTACCTTACACCTTAAATCTGTAATAGTGGCACTGCGAGAAGGCAGTCTAAGAATTGCGAAGAAGTTCTGACAAAGAGGTTGTGTAATCCCTTAGACCCATAATGAAAAACATGTCCATTCATTCCTGAAGGCTATTATACTACAAGATAAGTGCAGGATAATTCTTGAGGAGATTCCCGTGCTGTGTATGAAATGAAAGAAAGGATCCTTTGGGTTTAGGGTATTGGGTTTAGGGTTTAGGGTTTAAGGTTTAGGGCTTCTGTTAGGCTTATAGCGGTCCCAACATCATCGCCAAAAATATTGTAGCTTCCATTATCTTTCGCGTTCCTTTATTCTCTAGAAAAACCCTAAATCCTACCCTAAACCTTTGGACTCTACTACTAACAACCAGCAAAATGAGAGCCCTAGCCCGGCAGGCCTCTTGCATAGCTGAGAAGCGTGGGCTGTGAGTCTACAAGGAAGGCCCCAAGTACTGTAAGTCTTACGGTGTTGTGATGTTCCGAAGTCGTATTACAGCCTCAGAGATTGTTGCTGGCATTGCGTTGATTCACAACATGCGCAACTGACAACTGTGGTTGTTGCGTGTTTGCTACCAAGTCGCCTCGGTAGTGTTGTGTTGCGGACAATGAGGATGATGACGTTGCTTTATTAGAGGCTTTGCGTGAAACCCTCTGAACTGAATGTTTGAATAGCGTCTTCCGAATCTTCCGTGAAGCATCGAGATCTGGCACATGACACGAAACTCGATGGGCAGCACGTGTCGCTAAACCTCATGCAAATGGCGTGGACTACCCATCTTGGCTGGGACATGGCAGCAGTGGCCAGCGCGGATGCCTTCCCAATTCTGGGCCTCTAACAATAGACTCCTAATACTCAGTTTTAATAAGGAGACCCCCATATAAACAGGGAAAAAGTGTAATACTGGGGTACCTAGCACAGGGAGCGGCTTCAGCAACCTTTTGTTGTTAGGTCCAGCGGAATTGGTGGTCAAAATCTTGCATGGGGTCTCTTCTGGTGAGAAGAGGGCTTTGGTAACCCCAAAACCCCCCAATTAGGACCCGGCAACTTTGACACGAATACAATAGGGTGCTGAATTTCGAGCCTGGGATTACAAAAGCACTGTTGTTATCCGGGTATGTATACTGAAGGTTGAGAAGCAGGAGCTTTTGTTCCGGACGTTATGAAGAGGCTTATAGTAGCTGACCAGAAAGTTAGGAGCTCTTTTCATCTGGCCGCAGCACAGCAGCATTCCGAAAGCCACGCAGAGGGATTGCATTTGAGAGGCCGGCAACTTTTGCGAGTCTCCAGCGGGCACCTGAAGGCAAGGAACGTAAGGCTACGGTGCATTTCGGGCATGACGGCGTTTTCCACAAAACCCGACGCTTACAGATCAAAAGTTGTGAGCCATCAACTGCACCAGACGCTGGTACGCTCCAAAACGGCCAATATCAATAAACTTGATATTCTTCGGGCAATGCTCGATGCTCTCTGCGGTGCAGCACCGCAGCAGCAACGCAGTGCAACATGCCCATTCTCAGCAAGACACCGGAAGTTCGTGCATCGGTCGGTGGAAACATGTCAGCAAGCACCTGGTCTGGGCAGACGCATGTCCCACCACCCTTCAAGCGCAGACTGCAACATCCTGACGGAGTTCTCTCAGGCCCAAACACGTGTGGAAAAGAAGGTGAAACCTTGCACATGAGTCAGTCCGGGAAGGTTAGAAATGCGCGTTCGGAGACGTCTTGTCACTCAATCTTGATGCTGCTCAGCAGCCAATGCACACACACACACACACACAACTGAAGAGCCTAGCTGCGATCGCATTATTGACATGCTTTGCCACGGAACAACAGTTCACATTATGCTTTTGCCAGAAAAACCAAGAAAATTAGCAACAACGAATTCAAGTGACTGCAGGACCACGCAGGTAGAGCAGCAACAGCAACGCACCGTAGGTGCCCGGCACGAGGAACCAAGTGGAGAAGACAGGGTATCAAAACCCCAGCTTCGTCCACTTTGCCCTCATGACCTCAGAGGGTTGTCAAGAAACGTCCGCCAAGCATTTTCATGTGGCCAGGATCCGCGCATAGTGCATCACAGGTGTCGCAAATTCCTGCTTGCTCAAGAATTGCACTGCGCCTGACCTGCAGCGACTGTTGCTTGCTCCTGCCTCGCCAGAATTGCGGATGGCATTGATCTCCTGCACTGGCTGTTGTGGAAGCCCGTGCTGGCGAGTGCCAAAACAAAGAACAAAGTTTCGGCCTGGTTTGTGTCTTCCGCTTTCTGAAGCTTCGGGAGAGGCTCCTCTTCTGGCGCAACAGACTGTCCTTCAGTCGCTTCAGCCACGGCTTCACCTTGTGTCGCTGCAGGAGCTACGATATCCTGTGCAAGAGCAGCTGCTGCGGAAGCTTCAGCAAGGGACTCAGCCATGGCTTCAGCCGTGGCTTTAGCCGTGGCTTCAGCCGTGGCTTCAAGCGTGGTTTCAACTGTGGCTTCAAAAGGTGGTCCTTCAGCTGCAGGCTTTCTTTACCTTCTGTTGCATTGGCTGTCAGCTGTAGATTCTTGTCTTCGGCCGTTGAGTTTGCGCCTTCATCCGTCTGAGCCTGCAAAGCTCCTCCAATGCCTACAGGTGCCTCTGGCAGCGTCGGTTCCGCAGCCCCAAGCTGCGCTTGCACAGCACAGGGATCTGCGGGAGCCTTGAGGGTTTCAGGTTTGTCTGCTGCCTCTGTTGCCTCTGCGGCATCTGCGCCCTCAGCTGAGGCTGCTTGGGGTGATCTTTCTGCCATTGTAATCTTTGCCTCTTCGGGTTCTTCAGGATGTCTCTCTCCTTCAGGATCTTCTGAAAGTAGAGTCCTGAAAGAATAAAATAACAAGCTGATCCAGGCGCAACACAGTTACCTATGCTAAGCGATTTATGGCCGACAGTGTTTGCCAGCAAATCAGTGCAATCATGGTTCCCTCCATCCGCAGCATAGTCCGCAGGAGCCGTTTCTGGCGATGCTTCTAGCTGCACTTCTTGCCGCGGCTCCGGCAACTGCACATCATCTGCTGCAGTGGAAGGGGCCTGACCCGTGTTTGCATTCTCTGCATCAAAGAAACACTATGATATGGCCTCAAGCCTAACAATGTCTCAGACAATTTCAAACCAAGCCAACTGCGAACCTTCCCAACCACACACACTCCATGGGTGTAAATTCAAACGATGAGCCGACACAGGCACAGTAAAAAAACAAAAACATGATTTCAAGTTCTGGGACTGGGCCTTAACCTGCAACTTGAGAGGAGGGTTGCGCGAAAGCTCGCCAAGCGTGTCGAGTGGAGGAGGGGAGGAGGGAGATCTGAGTTGTAGCGTGCTATCTTGTTTGCAGCATGTAACTTTGTTGTCGATTTTGCGATTTAGCCTTCCCGCCACTGGATCAAGGAAAACAGACAGCAGTGCCCAGAGCAGAATAACACAGATCTACACAAGGTAGAGAAAGTCAAGGAGCTGGGGGACCAGAGTTGGGGAGGAGGGGGACGGGGGGGAGACAGGATTCATCTAGACCTCGTGCAGCCACTTCTATTGACAGCTGGCCTACCTCAAAATCACAGCGAACAGCAAGCACTTATCTGCCGTGGCAACAGCGTGAATATGTAGCCAGTGTGTTGTTAGCCTGTGTGTGTGTGTGTCTCCAAAGCAATTTTGGAAATCCATGCCCATTGTTACGAAGGGTGCTGTGCGAAAGTGGCCTGATGGTATTCCGCATGCCTGACGTCGTGGCTGAATTTCGTGATTCTGTCACTGCTCGTTTCTTTATTCGGTTGCGTCGCGGCCGTGATGAGGGTGAGGGTCCGCGTCTGTTTTGCTCAGGCTCGTGCTCATCTTGTGCTTCTGATACACCAGCGAGGGCAACTTAACCCTCACGGGTTAACACAGGCTGCCCTGGCTTGACCAAAACTTAGCTCAAGTACAACTACTGTGTATACTTTTCTCATTTGCCGCATCCTCAAAACATCTGCCATTGAAAGCTGGGCTACAATACGGAACAATCGTGGCACTGTTGCTAAAGGCACACTCGCTGCTGCCCATGCATACCACAGAAGCTTGGCTTTGCAGGCAGCCGCTACACTGGTGTTGGCCTCATCACTAGAAGTCCGCCCAACGGCGCAGATTCGCAGATTGAGCGTGGAAACGTAGTTACGTTCGCACTGCTTTTGGCAGAGCCTGGATAGGCTTCTTCAGCTGGCATGGTGTGAGCGACCTGAAGCTGAAGACTGCTACGTGTTTGGAGCCACCTTTTTCAGCCACACTTACGAATAATGATCGCACATTGAGGTCAGGACGGCGACAGCAGCAAAGTCGGCAGTCTGGCCTTCAAAATCGTTTGGATTCAGAAGGAAGCATTGCAATGTTGACCATGCAACTGCAAGAGCACTGCATCGGTCACACCTGGCTAGGGATGGCTAAAGGCATTCCAATATGGAGGGAGGAGGACCTGCAGCCATACACGGCAAGAACAAGGTTGGTCCTGTGCTTCTTCTCGAAGCAAGTCCAAAGCTTTGCCTTTCGCCTCAGCAAATCTCTCCTAAGATGGAACCCAATCCTACAACCCAGCCAAATTGGGCAGTCAATGTGATTTGCCTTGGTTTGTTGCGAGCCGGTTGCAGGGAAAGGTGATGCTAGCAATTTCTTTGTAGCGAGTAACAAAGGCGATGGCGATGGCGACAACAAGATGTCTGAAAAAGACACTGAGTATGCTGTTTTCGAACATGGCGTGAGTGCCGATGGCGACGATGGGGAAATGAGGACGACAGTGATGACCATGACGATGCTGCTGCTGCTGCTGCTGCTGCCGCCGCCGCCGTTTTCGTCGGTGGTGGCAGTGGAGATAACGGTCGCGCTGGTCGGGCAGGTTTTGGTGCTTGTATTGCCATCGTCTATCGTCCAATTGTTTCTGCTTGTCACTGTTGCTGTTGCTACCACTATTAGAAAGCTGGTGTTGTCGTTACCGCTCACGATGTTGTAGTCGGTCGTGCTTTGTAGTTGCTCATTGCTGTCGCTGCAATTTTGGCGCTTTCCGCAATCCCATTTCCCTTGACCTGAAGCTGTGACTTGCACTCACGGGCATTTTCCCAGCTCCGGCCAGAATCAATGATTCAAAATGGTGCAAGTCGCAGCGGCAAACAGTTCAGGCATCGTTTGAAGCTGATCCCTGGGAGGCAAAAGTCACGTGTCCAGGGCACGAAGCTGAGATCCGCGCCCTGGCCTTGCGCAACAGCAGCCTGCGCTTGGCAGCCTCGGGCATGGACGTCAGGATCTACATGCACACTTCTTTGCAACATGCGCCACGGGCTGGCCTGGCCCGCCGGCATCGCGGACACTAACGGACTGCACAGGCTAAGGCTTCCAAAATGCCCACAGCAGCACAAGCGTGATTCTATCAAGCCATGCCAACAAAGATGCAAAAAGAGCAGCAGCAAACTCACCTTCGCGGGGTACTAGGTTGTTAGGTGCAGGCCATGGTTACGATCGCAAAAGGCACCAACACATGCACGGCACATAAAGCCCCAAACATCCCCAGTCGCAAGTTTTGAATGCAGAGCCCCACTTCTAGAATGCTGGGGTTTGTTATGGTCAATGGTGGGCCTCCTCCCACACCCTGGACAGATTAATAATTAGAGATTCTCCAGGCAAGGTTAGTGACGTTCCTGCACTATCTACTGCGCGCCCCAAGCGGCCCCACTTTTCGAGATTTTTCGAGCTCAAATGGGCGCAGCGCGGCAAGAAGCATCTTCCTTCTCATTCTCATGGCCGCGCCTGGCGGCAAAGTCCAACCACCACTGGATCCACGAACGCTTCAGAGATTGGCACAAGTCAAGCAACAACTCTAGCAGCAGCAAGCATCGAGCAATGCCCATCAAAGTTGAAGTTGGAGTGCGGTACGCTCATCGTGGCGACCCATGGCGACCCCACACAGCCGCACTTGTCTTGTCCTGAAGCCCTACACAACATCAGCATCAAACCTATATACATCCTAGAGTTCACCCAACAGTTCAACTGGCATTCCACGCCTGAAGCCCCGAGGCCGCCATAGAGCGCAAGCTAAGCCCCTACCTTCGGTATGGTGGGCGTGTGACTTCGCCCAGGTACTCGGAGAGCTCCTTGTAAACGGAGCTTGACGCATCAGGCGAAATAGAAGAGGTTGCAGTGTTTGTAGGGTTTTCAGGCTGAGGATGGTTGAGTGCCTGGTTAATGCAGGAGCTATGCTTAATTCCAGGTTGATGCTGAGACCTCACGTGCTGCAGCGGCCAAGAAACCACATGCCCGCAAGCCCTCAGCCCCCTTTTGGCCCTTTCCCCTCCCACCCTACACCCTAAACTCTAAACCCCTCAAACCCTGAACCCCTAAACCCCTAGATCATGCCTGCAGCTGGAACTTCAGCACTGGAAAGCTCGGCGAGCCGTCGCGGGGCAGATCCTCGGAAGCCGCTGCCAGGACCTCTAGGGTTTGGGGTTTAGGGTTTACGGTCTAGGGTTTAAGGTTTGGGGTTAGGGTTTAGGGTTTAGGGTTTATAGGGTTTATAGGGTTTAGGGGTTTAGGGTTTAGGGGTTTAGGGTTTAGGGGTTTAGGGTTTAAGCTTGTTAGTAGGGCAT